TCCTGAGAACTGTGTGTCCAGGGTGGGGGTCGGGTCCCTTTAAGCATAGCCCTTGGCTAGCCTGAGACAGCAGCTCCACGCTCTAAGTCCTCATCTGATGCCCTGCCGGCACTGCTTCCAGCCATCCTTAACCCCGGTTCAGGGTCCACTCAGTGTGGACATGCTAGTTCGAATTAGCAAAACGCTAGTTTTTTAGTCTGGATGCGTTAGTTCGAATTAGCTTAGTTCGAATTAATTAATTCGAACTAAATTAGTTCGAATTAGTGCTGTAGTGTAGACATACCCCATGTTAGGGCACAGCTTACAAACACTACAGATGAGTCCCAGCTAGTTTTTTAGTCTGGATGCGTTAGTTCGAATTAGCTTAGTTCGAATTAATTAATTCGAACTAAATTAGTTCGAATTAGTGCTGTAGTGTAGACATACCCCATGTTAGGGCACAGCTTACAAACACTACAGATGAGTCCCAGGGGCACCAGTCTTTCTTTAAAGTCAATGGGACGAGGCATGGCAGAGAGTACTATGTCCTGCATTAAGTATCTGCAAGGTCAAGTCCTTAATTTTAATGTCTTCTAAATCGTTCTATACAGGGTGGCATCACAGAACATCAAAGGCTACCATACTTCTGAGAATACACAACAGACCAGGGAGCCTTTCATTAAAATTTCATTACAGAGATATAAAAATGAGCAAACTGGGAGTAGAAAAAATATGAATAGGTCCAAGCCTGACAAAGGACGTATTCTGGAGATGAACTGGTTTAGGTAGAAAGTCCCCTTTACCTTCCCAAAAGGCTATTGGTTTTTTAATTCACAGCACTGCTGTGGTAGGTTTATTTCAGTGGGAGTTCTCTGGACTTGTAGGATTGTGCCTGCAAAAAAATAACCCCATACCCTTTTCAACATTAATTGTACATTTGTAATGAGTGAGAAGAAATCTCTTTCTCTGCTGGGGAATGCCACTGCTATATATGACGGTAAGGTGGAGTTACATAATGAAGGCAAGGATATAGGCCCCTCCCAGCAGAGCTAATGGATCGTCATCATATAGCAAGTTATGAAGCACAATTGCATAATTCTGATTCCATCCAGTAAGGGCAGTGGCTTGCATACACACTAGCGAGTATGGTTTTTATTTCCTCAAAATGAAGACTCTTGTGCTGAGAAGCACAAATTCCAGCTCAACAGACTGTTTCAGAAATAATTTGGAAAGTCTGAAAGTTTTCTTCATTTGCTCAGAAGCAACGATAGTATGTGTGAGTACTCAGCATGCTGCCTTGTACTGGGAGTTCATTTTAAACAGGCCACTTACCCCAGCCTATCCAAACATGCAGATGATAGGAGATTATACTGACAACTGGTGTCAATCAGAGCTTTCAAGTCCTTTCCAGCACACTGCAAGGAGAAAACAGAGCATGTGAAAAGAAGAAGAGAATTCAAGAAAGAAATCCAGTGTTAATTGCATATGTGCTCAGGTGCATGTACATGGAACACAGCACTCGGCTAGCACTTGCTATGTCGCTGTTGAGGTTTCATTGTTTCAGCATTTTCTTTTCTATTTCCCTCAGCTTCTGAACTGCGGGGTTGATGCATGTAAGGATGTCAAACTAATGGTTAAGTCAGGCAATAAGTGACCCATAGACAAGATGTGGTTCACCAGGATTAGCCCCTAGCAGGCTGCCGGTGCTATATTTACCTGCGCATCCACAGGTAAGGCTTTTTGCAACTCTGATTGGCCACAGATCACTGTTCCCAGCCAATGGGAGCTGCGGGAAGCAGCATGAACTGAGACACTGCTTCCAACAGCTCCCTTTGGCTAGGAACGTCAATCTGTGGCCAGCAGAAGTTGGAAGAGGCCATGCCTGTGGATACACTGGTAGCAGTGACAGCCCATTTGAGGCTAGCCCTGGCAAACCACTTCTAGCTCACAGGCCCCTTATTGCACACCCCAGTTTAAGTGAATAATGCAGATGTAGAGTTGGATCCTGTGAGGTGCAGCTGCAACTCCCACTGAACCTTTTGTCTGTAGATATTGGGCCAAGCAGGTATGTAAAGAAATAGTTCTCATTGTAGTGTCCTCGGGCTGCCCCTTTCCCAAAGGTCTCACATCCCATTTCTTGGCCGGCAAAGTTTCTCAATGGAGAGTGATAAAGGCACAATGCAGAGAGAAGACCACAGGCTACCAATCAAAACTTCCTCATCCCCGCCAGAAATTACAGGCCCAGTTCCTCAGTTGATGTTAATCAACATCACTACACTGACTTTAGTGGAGCTAAACCACAATAGAGCATCTGTGGATCTGGACATATATACAACACTGAGCATCTTGTTGACGCTATATACATAAGCATCTTCAGCTACCTCCAACCTTCAGAGATGGCAGGAAGGGATTGCCGCATGGAAAGGGAGAAGGGACCTGCAGGGACTAAGACAGAGAGGCTACACAGGAGGTGTCTATCACAAAATAAAATGATCACAACTTTTAAAATAAACATTCCCCAGATCTGCTATCCTATATGCTCAGATGTCAAAGGGAATGGCATGCAGGCCATTCCCACAGACAGATCCTGCCTACAAAGGAGGGCTTTAGGGTTTGATGGTGATGCGGATGATGGAAAGATTAATTATACTGGGTGTCCTAGGACCACAGGAATTCCACAGCCCCAGGAAACTTATGTTTGCGTCACCCAGCAGTTAGTTGTACAACAGTTGTATTTGAAGGCTAATGGAGCCTTTGTTTTGCCAAACTGCTATTATATCCATTGCATTAAAGGGTACAGTTAGCAGGAAAGTAACAATGCATTTTTTCAGGGCTGTCAACATTGGAAAAGGAATGAAAACAGACACCTGTCAAAAGTAATATCCCATCAGCAAAAACATTGGACTTCATAACACTGACTCTGGAAAACAAGGAGCTTAGCTCTGCCTTTGTTATGAGGGTGGGTTCAATTCCTCCTGCACTGTTGATATAATAAAAGGGTTTAGGAAAATCTGGTGAAGAAGTCAAAGCAGCATTACCTGACAGCACACAAATATTAAGTCTTCTTCCTCCTTTTGCTTTGGGTTGTCTGGGTTGGTTTGATTCAGCTTATTGGTCTGTGCTAAGATGTCATTTTTTGGAGTCCATGTCCCTCGGTTATTTTGTAATTTTGATAAATTTGTCTCCAGTAAACGTCTTTGCAGAATGTTATGTGGTTGCTTTAAAACAAAACAAATATTAAAAATACAATAATAAAATGATAATCATGCCGTTGGGCTCCATTGGTCAGTGATTAGTCTCAACAAGTCTTCTATATAAACATCAAAGGCTATAAAACTTGCTTGACTTCAGCTACACTTAATAGGAATTTCTAGACCAAAGGAACTGGAAGTATAATGTATTAGCCAAGGGAAAATTCCTCCATGATATCAAAATAGATTTGAAGAGCATTATTTCACCTTCCAAGAGGATAGCCAAGCTGGGGGCATGATGTTAATATGGGAATCAGAACAGATTTAAGAAAGACTTAAGAAGAGCTATTTGATTCTTCAACTATTTAGAATCTTCACTGGTAATAATTTGGCCTTTGTCTAAGTGCCTTGTTTATTATGCGGAAGTTCTATGTGACCTATTGAGTAGATAGATGCAAAGACCTTTCATCTCTCAAGCTGGAGATAGATCATTTATGAAATGAGCATGTGTCTTAATGTAGTGCCTGCTTTCTACACTTGTTTGACATGAATCATCACAGATTCAACCAACTGATTTGGGTGTACTACACAGTCACCTAAATGTGAAATGAAATTGGATATGCACAATTGTGGAAAGACGACTACACAAATATTGTCTATGTTCACATAGAATTCAACCCTTTGGATAAGAATTTGGTCCAAATTAAACTTCATGCTCTGTAGCTCTTTTCCCTTCACTCTTCATGTACTCCTTCATGCTGTTCTTCACCTCTCCACAGCTTCCCACTTCCTGTGCAACAAACACCCCTGCCTCTCTAAGCCTTTCTTGACGGCACACAGCTTTCACAAAGACTTTCTGCATTGGCCGTGGAATGGTGCATACACTCACAGGCACTTAGAGGTGGAAGTGACCTGTTAGGTCCTATAGTCCATGCTTCAGCCAACAGAGGATTGTGCCCTCTACATTTTTCTAATGAGCTTCGTCTCCTCACCGGAGATACCTTCCCACCACCTCCAACCTGAACATTTGCCTGCATATTGTTTATTTGCAAAGGTGAATATCACGGTGAGACACCTAACTCTCAATGGAATTTCATTTCAGACTGGGTGCCTAACTCCCTTAGGCACCTTTGAAAATCAGCCTGTATTTTTTAAATTAGTTTGCAAACTCTTTGCTGTGACATTCTTTTGTTTTAACATTTTCAGTGAAGCATGTGAAATAGTAAAGATTTCAAGAGACTAATGTAACATGGCATACAGAAAGTCAGACGATAAGAAAACACAAATACACTGTTGGCATTTCATGTTTGGGGTCATCACATTTGCAGAAGAAGTTAAACTATATTACATTGATAAGAATCAGATAGACATGGTAAAATACTGGTTGCCATTCAAACTTGTAATTTCTTTTTTCATATTTATTATTTTTGTATTGAAAGGAAAATAGAATGTCTCGATCTGCTGATGATGTTTTGTGTGATTAGCACTCAGAAGAGCATGCTCTGTATAGTGAGATAACATACTCAGTTCTGTACCCAGCAGTCAGTAGCAATGAAAGATTGGAATTCTAATTATGCTGTCAACATTATGATCAAATAAGTAATGGGGCCAATTCTTTCACCCTTATTTGTAGTGAGCAATATCTTATTCCCAGTGAAATCAATGGGACTAATTTCACAGCAGGGTATTATATAAGTGAAGGTGAGAGAACTTGTTCCGCTTTTTAAATTGTGTAGATACGCTACACTGTGGCATGAAGAAATCACTTAAGAAAAGAGTCCTCCTGTTTCAAGCAGAAGCATTAGGAGCAGAACCAGCACTGTGATCACAGGGAAAGCAATCGAAACAAAGTCAGCTGCACAACACACCATTCTGTAAATAGAAGGAGCAGAAAAACCTAACAGTGCTAGCACTTCCTAGAGGCAGAAGGGAAAGTGGTTTGAAGAGGATTGCAAACCTTCAGTCCTTTGGTTTTTCCTACAGTACAACATGCATTTTTACAAGCACTGAATCCACACCTAAAATTCACCAAAGATGAGGACTTGATGGCTCATATTATAAGTTCCCAGATAGGGAGCCTTTCACATGTAGGTCATCAGCTCACATCCAGCCCAGGTCAGCAGTGGTAGTGATTAGAGTTTCCAAACATTCAGAAGTCAATGTCAGTCTGGACACTTTCCCAAAACAGCAGTTCCCAAGCACCCCCACCCATTCCCTGTGGAAGAAGTTACTACAGAAGCAAGAGAGGGCCATGCTGGCGCAGAGCTTTGCCCCCTTGCTTCACAGTCTCACATTGATTTCCAGAGCAACGGGTCTTACAATGCACTTGTGACAAGCTCCACCAGGAGTCATCAGTGGGCGTGGACCGTGGATTTAAAAAACTAAGCTCCCCAACCAGCAGCTGTACCACACTCTTTAATCTGTGTATGGACCAGCCACTGAAGAGCCATCCTGTGGGAATATGGGTTACAAGTGCAACTGAAAACATCTTTTATTAATGCTAGTTCCTCTGAAGTCTGAGGCCAATGCTACCTTCAGTAGGACAAGCAGAGCTTGTATGTTCCAATCCAGTGTATATGTTATCTTTAAAAAAAAAAAGTTGAAAAGTCTCCCTTCAGCATCATTCCAAGGCTATTATTAAATAATCTGTTCAAATTTTTATTTTCCTTGGCTTTCTTGTGCAATACAGAGTGAGGAGCATTAGTCAGAGAGATGAGTCAAATGCTGGAAAGAGACACTGAAAATCAACTAACTGTTGCAAAGATCTTGTTGGAAAATGGCAGCCAGATCAGTTAAAGAAAGGAAAAGAGGAAAGACCTTTTCAAGCAGAGTAATCATCTTTCGCAGTGTCCTCCCCTCACCGCCTCTTGGCGGAGTGCCCAGTAAATTGTTGAAAACAACAGAGCATGAAGACACGGTTTATACTGTAGTAGATATCATCTCTCCAGTCCTCAGACTGAGCTCCACAGACTCCTTCTGCAGGGTGAGACATTACCTAGCAGCAGGAAGTGAAACAAGTATGCTTTGGGGCAGCAGTGATTTTCCTCAAGCACTGCCAGAGAGCTTTGTGTTTTGCAGACTAGCCAGAAGACACAAGAAAGCAACACATGGGGCAGATCTTAGTCCTATTTCCTGAAGCTTGTGACTATCTCCAGTTTGGACCCTACTTTAATGTAATGTAGTCATCTGCATTTTGGGCAGGCCCTCCCTTCTGCCTTGGCTTCTGGCGCCTAAAATGACAGGAAAACCCAAAAACCAGTTTAATTCAGGATACTGAAATGAGGCCCTCTATGGAGAATCTAAGGTCTGCCTATTCCTAGATAGAACTCGTTGTGTCCTATTTACGTCATTGTGCCTAGATACTACAGCAAAGGCTTTTTGAGAGCAAGACAGAATTTTTATGTGACAAGCAACTTTTCTCTCTTCCTGCAAACCACTCGTCAAAATTCACTTCTCATATGGCTCATCCAAGAGTAGGTTTTCCTTTTCCATCATTTTCTGTTATTCCCACCTTCCACTTTCTCTCATCCCCTTGGTCCATTGATATTTCTTGTGTTAGCACTTTCTCTCATCCCCTTGGTCCATTGATATTTCTTGTGTCAGCTGTCTAATTTTGTTTGTAAGCTCCTGGGAATATTGCTCTTGTATTCATGTATTTCTATAAGGTGCCAGGAACACACCAATGGTACGTCTACACAGCAGTGTTATTTTGGAATAACTGATGTTATTCCAAAATAACATAGTGCGTGTCTACACTACAAGTTTTATTTCAAAATAATGTCGAGTTGGAAGACTTCTTACTCCCACTTAATTCATGAGGAGTAAGGGAAGTCGAAGGAAGAACACTCTTCCTTCAATTTCCTGCTGTGTAGACAGCACCAAAAGCCAAATTAAGCTATTTCAACTTAAGCTATACAATTGATGTAGTTGAAGTTGCGTAACTTAATCCAACTTTACCCCTGATATGTAGATGTATCCCTAAGGTAGTAGGATAGTAATAATACAGAAGCCCTTTCTTTAGTCATCTTCGAAACCTAGAGAACTGGATATGGGGTATTGCTTACTGTAAAGATTCAGCTGGGGAACAGGTGACCTGCCCTGACAACTAGACTGCATTGTTTCCATGGAAATGGGTAAGAACAAAAATTACTAGGGCAGCTATAAAAGCTGCTTTTATTCTTCTACTCTCCAAAACATCCTGTAGCATGTCATACCTGGGATACTGAGCAATAGCTGAGTAGTACAGCTGGCCCCCACATATGGCTAAGATACCCAGCATGCTATCCAAGATAACCAACAAAAAATAACAGGAACTCACAAGCTGTATTTTTATGTGAACATTGGACATTTATGTAGCTAACAAGAATATGAGAGCCATATGATACATTGTCAGGATTATAAAAGGACTAGAAACCCTCATGTTTCAGGACATAAGATATCATTTTAACTAATGGGAGTTTAGGAAGAAACGGGCCTTGGGAGTATACAGAGGCATACCATAAGGTTTCTTGTACTTGCCTGTGGTACTAGCCACTGTGAGAAAGTGAACTGGACTAGACAGACCACCGGTCTGATCCAGCATATCAAGTCCTATGCTCCTATTGTCAAGCTATACTGACAACATTTTTTTTTTCAAAAAAATAGATGCATCCCTGCTGCTTGTACAGAGAAAAAAAAAGGACTACATTTGTGTAAAGCTAACGCATGTATCAAAACAGTGTGCTACAGCCAATATATTCCAAATTCTTTGGGGTAGATCCTCAGCTGGAATTAACTGGTGTAGTAGCTTGATTGAAATCAATGGACCTAAGCCAATTTACAGCAGAGAAGAGTCTGTCCCAACAAAGGAACAGGAAAGAGAAGCAAATACTGTGTCTTTCCAGATATTTTTAATGAGGACCATTATTTGCAATGTTTCTGAAGCATCCAGCTGCTGTGCTTGAGAGACACTAGATTGAGTATTATAATGAGTGAAATTGCATTGAATAGTGTGGTGTGCCTGGAAGAGCCACTCAGGAATAGGGTGG